TTTTTTGTTTTTTTTTTTTTTTTGTTGTGTGTGGCATATTCTTCACTTCTTGTCTAGGTGTGGTATCATGTTTGTAGTAGCCGTGGAAAGGGTTGCTATAATACCAGGCTGAAGGAAGATGGAGGTTGCACTATATGGTACAATGAGATGCAGGTAATCTTTCATTTTGGTTTTTATTCAAAAAATCACCTTTTTATTTAAAAGGAAAAATAGCTGATATTAGTTTCTCAAGGATTGAGAGAAATGTACATTATAGTTTGTCTTGTTTAATTGAAGCATAAATCATGTTAGTTTCAAAAGCCCATGGATGAAGACTTTTTAAAAATATTTAAATATTTAAAGTGAAAATTGTGGTGGTTGGGAATATGTATTTCATTTTAATCTAAACATTTTGAAATTCATTTTGATTATTATATTATCCTGTTGATGATGATATCCAGGAACTTTTTTTTCCCTTCTTCTATTCTTAGTTTTGGCACTGACTTACATCCAGTGTCTTCACAGATAAAATAACTCTGGTGATTCCATTGTGCTAGGATATTGCTAGTGAATGTTTTAATTACATCTTAACTGTCCTTTTTAAAAATGATTGATACATAGTAGAAAGCAGAATGTCTCACTTTTATGGTCTTGTCAAATAGACTGGTGACTATTAGTTTGCATGTCCATTTCAAGAATGTAATATTGCTTCATACAATAATTCCCAATCAGATTTTGATAACTTAAAGTGCAGCTGATTATGCTGCTATTGCACAGACTGATAGGAGAATCTTTTATTCTCATCTTCCATATCCAAAATAACATGCAGGTTCTGAATGCATTTTATCACCTTCCTAACCACATCCTGTGAACTGTTATAAAATGGGATTAAAAATCTGATATTATTCAATTCACTTCATTTACTAAGATGAAGTATCTCTTAAGACTACTTATCTGTCATTCCTCTTAACCTGAGAATAGCACTTTTATACAAGTACAGATTTTGTAATGGGATACATCCAATATGAAATAGCTGGAAATTCATGGCAACTTGCACTTGTGAAATATAATTAAATACCTTGTATGTAATAAAATAAGCAGTTAGAATAGCTGGTAGGCTGAACCTGTGTGGGTCGGCCCCATTAAAGTCAGTAGGGAAGGGGTTCTCAAACAGGGCATCATGACCCCTTGGGGTTGCAAGCTGTCAGCTCCATGGGGCTGATAGCCCCGAGCTCCAATTAAATTACCTCCCCTCCCCATTTTAATTTATAAGGGGGGAGTCCCAATCAGAGGCTTGCTGGGTGAAAGGGCTCACCAATATAAAATGTTTGAAAACCACTGCAGTAGGGGTACCGTATGGATGTAGGGGTCTTCCCATAGAGAGTTACTTGTAGTCTCAAAGGTGCCTTGATTTATAACCGTTATGGTTATTCTGGGATGTATTAAAAGGAGTGTCATATGTAAGACATGAGTGGTAGTAATTCCCCTTTCCTCACCATTGGTGGGGCCTCAGCTGGAGTACTGTGTCCACTTTTTGGGCACCACCCTTTAAGAAAGATGTAGACAAACTAGAGAGTTCAGAGAGCAGCAAAAATAAGAAGTTTAGAAAACATGACCTGTGAGCAATGATTGAAAGAATAGGCCATGTTTAGAAAACACGACTTTGGGGCGGGGGGACAAAAGTCTTCAAATAATGTAAAAGTTGGCTCTAAAGAGAACAGTGATCAGTTGTTCTCTGTCCACTGAGAGTAGAACAAGAACTAATAAGCTTAGTTTGTAACAAGGGAAATTTAGGCTGGATATTAAAAAGTGGGGGGGGGGGAGGGGGGAGATTAAGCAATAGAACAAGTTACCTGGAAAGGTTGTAGAATTCTTGCCACTGGAGGCTTTTAAGAACAGGTTAGACACAAACAGCTGTCAGGGATTGTCTAGAGAGACTTAATCCTGCCGGAAGAGGAGATAAAATCACAGCAGTGAAGGGCTCGAAGGGAACTCAAGAGGTCATCTAGTCCAAGCTAGTATGGATACACTTCTGGGCCTTTATTTCTTTCAGGGCAAACTCCGTTCTTGGGTGTATGCCACTCCTGTTGGAACCACTGAACATAATTACTGGTTTAGAACAATATAATATCTTTTGTTTCAGAAATGGAAGAATCTTTAAGACTGAATTTTTTTTTTCCTTTCTTAGTTGCTGGGTGAAATTGAAGAGCACCTGAACTGTACTATTTCCCAAGTTGAGCCAGATATAAAAGTACCGGTGGATGACTTCGATGGGAAAGTTACATATGGACAAAGAAGGGCTACAGGCGGTAAGCAACTAATTAGTGTTCGGTAGTCTAGTTAAGTTTCGGTCTATTAGCGGAAACATTTGAAAGAGTGACTTAATAACTATAATAAATTGACAAAATGGTCCCTATCCTAAGCCTTGTAATTTTTATGTAACTACTCTTTATGTAACCTTTTGGAAAGCCCGTGTCACTAAACAAAGCATCCATGATTATTTTCACTCCACCTCCAATATCTATATGACTGTGATACATGGCAGGCCATCAAATGTAATGTCCCCCTCTGTGGTAATACAGGTTCCTGTTTTTTCAAAATAGAAATTTATATAAAAATGTGGCTGCTTGCACATAAGGACGTGAGTTCTTTTCAGGCAGTTGTAAGCGTGGGTATGTATTTATCTATGGCTGGGAGCATGCGTTTAACCATCACATAAATTTAGTTAAATAAACTGACCTTCTAAATTCTGATTTTATGAAAGGTATTTTTATTGGTTTTTGTCTAGATAATTAAAACTTGTTTCTAGTTTAGTTGCAACAGATAGGATTTACTGTGTGTGGTGAGGGCTGCAAGTTTGCCAGTAGCAAGTTAGTAAGATTGGAATAGCTAACTTTCTGAACAATTGCAACTGAACATAAGTACTGCTGACAAGTTATTTCAAGCATGTCCTTTAGAGTGTGGTTCTTTTTTTTGGCAGGTGGAACCTATAAAGGCCATGTGGATATTTTGGCACCTACAGTACAAGAGTTGGCTGCCCTTGAAAAGGAGGCTCAGACATCTTTCTTACATCTTGGCTACCTTCCTAACCAGCTGTTCAGAATGTTTTGAATGTGCCACACTTTAGGCAAGACTTGAATAATAATAAAAACTATAATCTTGTGCTGCCTCTCAGCAGTAGTATTTACAATAACTCTTAAAAACAAGGCACCGTTCTTGCATGTCAAGCAACCCTGTTGAAGAATGTAGACTCCCATGTTTTAGCTGTCATAAATGTTGGCCTAATAAAAGAGAACTAATCTAAACTTGTGGGGTTTTTTCTTTTTTTTTCCCCCTCACCCTTGAGTGAGTTTCCAGAATCACTAGTTATGTAGCGTTTTCATTTACTAAAAATACAAATGTAATTTATCCAGTTGAGTGAGAATGTTAAGTATCTTTGTAGTAAATATAAAATGATTTGTCCTGGTACTATTTTGTCAATCAGTCAACCTTGACAAAAACTTTTGTTCACTTGTGTTCTAGTTCTTTTAAATTAAAAAAAAAAATACTGGTATTTTTAATGCATGTTTATAACAAACAACTGTGACTCTTCACAAAGTACACTGTTTTAAAATAAATATTGTGGGGAAAAATCCATCAAGTTTCTTTTAAGTATCTTAGAAATTAGAGGTTCTGACTTGTATCTACAAACCCATGGAACTTAGGTCCTCTTAAAGCATCCTGCTTTGCTTGAGTATTGCAGAACATTGAGTCTTCTGCAATTTAGCATATGTAATCCAGTTTATTGGAGCAAGTAAATGAACACTGAATTCACTTGGCTAAATGGAAGTCCCTGGGACCAGGGGCCTGCAGCATTCATAAGCATTAGAAGTTAGTCTTCATCCTGCAGACCTTATAAATGGTAATAGTTGAAAGTGCTAGTAGGGAGGCTTTTGAATAGCCCTCTGATATCCCTGTGGATATCCTCTTTTTTTTTTTTTATAGTAATAAATTGCATGCGCACATATTCAGGTAAAATCTGTCTAATGGCATTCCATTTAAAAGTTCGGATTTCTTCAATTTTGTGGCTTCAGGTAAAAACCCTTAATGTTACATTAAAATTATTTTCAGCGGCTTAACAAAGCAATTGCTGCTTTGACACTTACAATATCAGAACTTCCTGTAGCTTGGGATATTTTTATGTGTGGGGGCATGTGAGAGTGGTGGTATTGTCCTGTTCCCCTGAATATCTTCTCCATTCTTGTGAGCAGAAAACCAATTTCCAGAATTGGAGTAGTGTGCCTGCTTGCCAGAATGGAGGAAATGGCCCAGTGTGCATTGGGATGAGAACCCAGCAGCCTAGATTTTTGTCAAGTTGTCCCACAGAGAAAGATGAAGTATTTCAACATAGAGACTATGTTGTGAGAGTGGGACCGGGAGAGGGAAGAGAACTTAGTTATTTTGTCAGTAACTTAAAACTGACTTGCAAAATTGATGACAGATTCATTCGAACTTGATACCATAACTGAATTGGGCAATGGCCTATGAGTTCTCTTTTATCTCTGAAAATCTTTCTAGTATTCTTGTACTTGATACAAGCAAAGGTGCCACAAGTCAGGCAGGCTCTCACCACTGTGCGTTTCCATGTGGCAATGGAAGCCCACCATGTGACTTCACATCAGTAAAGGTGGTAATGGTTCCCTTTCCTCATCCTCAATATGACCTACACAAAGCAGGTGCACTTAACTGAAAAGTGTGCCTTAAGTAGTTCAAAAATTGTAGGTGTAAGTGAAATTTTCATTTTGCAATACTAAAATCACTTCATACAAACACACAGGCATCAGAATCATTCAGTGGGTGGAGATTTTTTTTTGTCAGTAAAGTTCCCTAAACATTCATCCAAGTGTAAAGCGCATAAATTTCTGAACAGAACTAGGAAAAAGACCAGATGTCTCAAGCAAGAGCCTTGTTTAGGCACCAAAATAAAAATGGAGAGGCATTAAATATTCACAATTCTGAAGTCCAATCCCAAGACTGAAGATAGCTAAATAAAGCTTTAAGTACATAGGTTTTAGGCACTCAGGTTTGGAAAACACTGGCTTTCTTTTTCCAGTGTCAGCCTCTCCCTTATATTTAAGAGGCTTTTTTCTGGTAGTTTCTAAGTATGTACTCTCGAAGACTGCAACATGACTTAGTGAAGGATTCCTGACTATGGAGTTTATTCCCTGTGGTAATCCTTCAGAACCTGGCTATGCTAAACAGAACGTAGTGCAAGGTGTACAGCTTTCTTAGTAGGCATTTATGTAGATTGTTGCTGGGGGCAGTTGTGTGTTTTGTTGAGGTGGTACATTGGCAAGGCGTTTGTGCTCCCTGTTACAAGGAATTAAACTGTATTGCTTATATTCAATCGGGCTGCCGGCTACATCAGTGGTAGTTTATAATATTACTATAACTTTTACTGATCATCTATCTCGGAAGATAAATAAGACCACCTTTCTAGTGAGTCCATAAAGCTGAAATCAACTAAGATGCTTAGGTTTTTTTTTAATCAAATTAGCTTGCTCTATTGACAAATAAGAGCAGGTGCTTGATGTTGGTTGTAGCTTAGGAGTCTTTGGGAATAGGCAAAGACGGATGCTGTATAGGCAAGCTACCTAGCCAAGGCCCCAATTAAGTGCCCTTTTCAAACAGGGATTCTTTCTGAATCAGGCAGTGTTGATTTGCTTTTGCATCCATGGCTGAGAGATGATAAAGATGGGTTGTTGCCACCAGTCTAAATATGGAGCAATTCTGTTGGTTTTAAGTGTAGTCACATCAGTGCAAATGAGGTCAGAATGTCTTGGGGTTGGGTGTTTGTCTAAATTCATTGCTAAAAACAAATCTATTGACTGCCTCATGGTGGTGCTAATGTTTCATTGATGCCTAAGGGGCACAAAATCTAAACTAGTCTGTTACTGCCACTTGGCGTCAATGTATTTTTTTTTCTTCCCTTTTTTATGGTGAAATTGCTTCAAGCTACTTTTGATTTAAAAAAAAAATTGGATCTTCGTGTATGGAGCGAAACTTAGTGTTCACAATGAAGAAACTCTGCTTCATTAGCTGACTTGTTGCTACAACAGGATTAAACATGCAATTTAAACTGTCAATATTTTTATCCGCCACTAACTATTTAAACAGTCTGTACCTTGTTTTGGGTACAATATGAATTCCTGCTGTAGACAGATCACCTGTACATGTCAAAACTGTTTATGTTCATTGCTGTTCTCCGTAACTCTAATAATCACCATGGAATGATAAATGTACAACCCTCTATGAGTAGCTCTGTTAATAAATGTCTTTAAATTTGAGCTATGAATGAAGAGGTGGTAATGATGGCCAGCAAATCAGTACATGTACACATTAATTGTTCCTGGCCAAAAGTGAGTTGTTATATTGGATTTTAAGAGTATAGTAAAATTTAGCAAAGAATACTAACTTTCACTCTTCCTGAACTTCTTGTTTTAGAAAAAATATTTTTAATGGGTGTAATTGGGAGGAGTAAAATGTGGAACTGTGTATCACAGTTCCACTTATTGAGCACTTTTGTATAGTCAGAAATAAAACAGTCAAATACAAAGCTGTTGAATTAGTATGTCTCATGAGAATTCATGCTCTTATTGGATGATTAACTATTGGAGTATTTATAACTACTGGTAGTAATCTTTCTTTGTTTTCCTTTTCTACACTATAAAGGTTCCTTTTATGGAAGGGAAAAGGATACAGATGGTGTTTGCCACTCTGTCCAAACTGCTTAGTTGGGGCCCCTTTTTAGTGTACTCCAAAGGCAGGAGTTCAGTGGTCTCTTATACTAAGTATGGTTCTATTTTGCTACTGTGAGGGCAGACAAAATTGCTTCTGGCAATACTGTGTTTTGCTTCAATGTTCTCATGTTTATGGAACCACACATACAAATAAATGTGCCTAGTCTACTTGAAGATGTAATTGGTCTGTGGTAACTTCCATATGTGAATATCCATATAATGCTATGTATCTAACTTATTTCCCCTCATACTTAAATCAGTTATCAAAATAGCTTAGGGCACATAGTGCTAACAAAAACTTGGGGATGAAACAAAATGAGCTGAGAGCTACAAGTTTATATTCTTGATTGGGGATTGCATGCATACATTCTGCAATGTTTTAAAATTAAGATTTTTATTTTTGGTGTGTGTTTGGGGGGGGGGGAGGAGAGAGAAATAAGGACTCGAGGTGGGTAGCTGTTTGGGTTGTTTAGTTTTTGATTTTTAATCCTTAGCCAGTCACAGTTCTACCTCTAGTCACCTGTGAACCAAGAATAACCATGAATTAGTTAAAAAACTTGTCTATAAAGTTGGTGCTGAAATGTCTAGTGAATGCAATATATTAAGAACAAACTTTAATTGTCAAGGGAATTCTCTACAATAGGTGCTAATAAGGTCTCTTCCAGGTTTAACTTCCATGTTTGAAAGTATTTCCTCATAATCATAATGCTGAATGATCTCCTCCCATAACCTTGCTGAGAGCTTCATACGCTGGATGAGTGTGATTTCTGTTCTAGCTCTTTATGTATAGTGCTTTTCATCATCATATAGTGATTTTATCTATAAATTTTTAAAGCCCTTTACGAAAGATCAGTATCGTTATTCCCATCTTACAGATGTGGAAATGATGGCAGAGATGCAAAGTGACTTGCCCAAGATCACCCACCAGGCCAGTGGCAGAGCCAGGAATAAAACACTGATCTCCTGAGTCCACTGTACTGTCTACTAATATAAGACCAGAAAGAGTCAGACTTGAGACCGAATAGGGACTAGGTCTCCTGATTTCATAGACCTCTGCTCAAGCCTGTATATCATGCTCCCTCTCTAAACATGATGATCTTACCAAGAATTTGTCCTAGTAATGCTTGAAAAATACACACTGTGCTACCTAAAATATTTTATCCATATGGGCCAAAAAAAGTAATCTTTGTAATGACCCATTAAAGATATCTAGTCACTAAAGTCCTGAATATTGTTGCTCATAGCTGATATACCATTATAAAGCAAGGGATTTAAAAGTGCTACATAGTAGAACATTTATGTCCATATGCTGAACTGCGGTGTTATACTGCAATACCCAAGAGGGCATTAGGTGGGTGAGGCATACTGTTTCTAGTTGGCTGAAGACTTACTTTGCCTACAGTTATAGGAAAACGAATGTGATGCAGCAAACTAAAGCGAGGAAACAGTGTGAGTTCAACAAGTCAATCAGATCTGGCATGTATGCAAATATCCTACCAGTTAGAATGTATAAGCTAATGAAAGTA